TTTTCTTCCTCTAGCTCTTAATATCCTACATTAAAAAGCCTCAAAAATTCCCCATTACTATTTGCTTCTGATTCCTGTAGCTGCTAGGTTTAGTTTTGCATAGAATTTCTCCAGTTTAAGCAAAAGACGTGCCACATTTCTGGTGGTGGGCCCAACAGCTGCTGTGGGTCTTGTAAAAAGAGGACAGTCTCTCCATTAACCTCAGTAGTATTGTCAGTGTATCCACACAGGTCTAGAATAACTTCATGTTATTTTTGCTACTGTCACTGACTCAGATTGTAAATTTACTTTGCATCATTACTCTTCCCTTCCCCTTACCTGCAAAAATCTAGATACCAGTTTGTAGCACTCGTGTAAAATACTTGTAGCTTATCTTAATACCCTTAGATGACAGAAATGCTTTATTTGAAGAATAAGATGACTTGTTTTTAATCTATGAGTAGCTCATTTTAAGGCTTTTAAAATAAATCTGTGATTTGCTACAAGCACAGAGTAATTTGACAAAACCAGAGGGTTTGTGTGTGCAAAGGGGGAGAAAGAGACAGCGCCAAGTAATAGTGTGTAATTGTCTTTCTAAGCATGTATATATATATATGTGAAAACATTGAATATAATTTGTGATTCCATAATGTTTTTATGCCAATGAAACCTGTTAAATGTTTCTAGATTAAAAGGTGGCAATTGTTTAGAGATAAGAAAGAGAAATAGTTGCACAAACCCTGCATTATATGATTATAAGAACTTTGCACACTAATTTCCTGTTGTCTTTTAGCAAAAAAACAGTTGCCTAATCAAGCATGAATTGGATTTCTGATTTGTTTTAAATGCTTAATTGAATTTCAATTAATTTAATTAAGTTTTTCCTCAGGTGAGCATTTGAAACATGCAGAAGGGGTGTGTGTCAGGGGTAAAGAGGGGAGGAGAATAAAGGAGAACATACTGCCACAGACCTTAAAATGTGGCTTCACAATATTTTTATATTTATAAAAGGCATAACCTGATAAATCATATTCTGTACAGCCATGCATGAAAATACTGAAGGTGTTCTATAATTAAAAAGAGCATTTCAAGAATATGCATGGTGATAAAGTCACTGAATTTTTCTACATATGCTGCAATGTAATTGGGTAAATTCACCTGCAATTAACAGGGCTGTTGATGATGCCAGAGGGAGTAGCTTGAGTAGCCTAAAAGAAAAGAAGCTGTGTTCCTCCTCCTTAAAATATGACATAAGCAGTGGTCTCCTGAGTGCATTAACAACAACAAAATCCAGAGCAGATCATAAAGGTGTCACTGGGGAGGGAAAAATTGGATATTACAGATTCAGTAGTCTCAAAACTGAGCATTTAAAGAGGGTGCATTTTAACTTTCTCCTAACAACTCTTTTATAGGTTTCCACAAACCCTGTCGCACTGAAGATTTTTAAGAACCATAGCAGGAAAAAGGAAACTGCCAGTCACAAAAATCCCTGAAATAATAAATAGAAATATGTTTTTGCATCATATCAGGGCCTGTTTATAATCTCCCGTAGGAAACATGCACTCCTGGCCATATTTGTCTTTGTAGTCCTGCACAGATGTCCCTTTTTATGTTAGGGGCTTTTTTTTTTTTTTTTCTTTTTCTTGTTGCACGTGTCAGGGTTTCTATTTGTTCGATGCAGCTGCAAGGAGTAGTGACAGTCAGGTGGGTTTTCCTTGGAAAAGTAGGATTTTCATACACAAAAGGGAGCAGTTGTAGAAAAAGCAACTCCTTCTGTCTCCCTGTTGGGAGCTGCAAAGCAAGACCTGTAGTTAGACACTGTCTTCTTTCCAGCTCTCCATTTGCTGGCAAAAGTGCAGGGCAGGGACTAATCCTCTTGGAATGCAGCCATTACCACTAAATAAGTATTAATTGCTGCATTCCAAGGGGATTAGCACAGTTGAACCCAATTATAGCAAATCGAAGCTGCACTGTAAGGCACTACAGTGCATTGAGATGCAGTGAAGCAGTGTAGGACTGTCAGTCTCCAGCATTTTATCAATAAAAATTGTGGGCTTCTATGTTATAAACAGCAGCCTATTTCTTGGTCTGAATGGCATGCCTGGCTGGAAGCTACAGCTTGATCACCACTGAAAATAGTTGCTTTTTTATACACCCATTATCTTTGTGTGAACATCTCAGAAATGTTTTTAATACTTGTTGAGTTAATTATGGCACTGCAAGCATGACTCCCTGCTGGACCAGGGGCAAGGCTCTGCAGTCTGTCTGGATTCTCACATCTCTGAAGTTGGCCAGCTTCTCCATCAGGTGATGTAGGAATTAATTTTGCCTGCAAGTGTTAGCTGTATCAAATAGGCTTAGGAGAGCTCCTGATAACCGACCTGTTCTCAATCCCAGCAGTCTGCAGTGATGATTACAGGCATATCTCTGTGGTAGCAATACAGGAGCCAGAGGGCAGTGTGTAGTTATATATATTTTTTCAATCCTCAGCTTGACTGTGGTGTGGGTTTGTTTTTTTTTTTCGTTTTCATTTATTTCCTGTTAAAACTGCAAACCCTGCTGCTTTTTTTTTAATATAGTACAGTCAAAGCATAACCAGTAAGCGTGAAAAGGGAATGCTTCTGGGAATGAATCAGCCCCTTGCATTAGAGCTGTTCCAGGATTTTTTGTGTCCAGAGAAAGGATGGCATATGGATGCACAGAACCAGTTGAATGTAGGCCTTGACTATTTTATGAAAGATCTTATCCTTACAGATAATGAGCTGTACCTTAACCAGCATTAAACACACTGAGTTGTACTTGGGGACCACTTCAGTTCCCTGACCCATTCTGTTTCAGGAACCACAGATCAAATATTGCAGTCTTCCCAGTGCAGGTAATTCTTGAAAATGTACTTTCCTCCACCCATATGTTTAGATGAAGAGTCAAGTTTAGCTGAGAGCTTTTCTTAACACAGCAGGAAGGATTTTATATTTCTGCTGTGGCCTTGTCTGTATTGAGGAAAAATTGCTGCTGGTTCAGCTGAACAAGGGTTGGCATTCATTTCTAGCCCAGGGTTAACAAAGTCCCTACACTCTGACTGAAGTGAATAAAATGAAACATCAGTATGGTTTAAACTGTTGGTAGAAGTGTATTTGCAAGATGGACCAATGCACAATGTGGGCAGGAAGTGCTGAAGTTTTTACGGTGCTGTGTAGCTCCTGGAGATGCAAACACTAGAAAGGCTGAAAAGAAGGTGACACTCCCAGCAAACCATTCCTCATGGTAGAATTACAAGCCTTATGAACCCTGAAAAACTTTTTCCTAGAGAGGAGACCACTTCCTCTTTATCTTTTCCTGTACTGCTTGTCTGCATGTGATTTGCATCTCTCCCATGCCATGCTTGTTGTGAGAATAATTCATAATACAAGCATGAGTACTCTTCAGTGTACTTTGATTACATTTGGATAATGATAAGCTTGGCTTAGTTCAAAAGCTGAGGGATGGGGAGGTGGGAATTTCTAGGGGCACTGTCATGCAAAGCCTTTTTCTGACTCTACCCACACTTCCAAATGAAGTCCATATACTCAATTTCTCTGACCTTTCCCTATCTAGACATCAAAACACACTGGCCCAACTGCTGTTCTCCCAGTGTGCCTACTGTTGCTATTAATCTCTCTTTCTTACACAGCTCTTCATTTCTTTTCCTTACCTTTGGCCTCAGCTCTTTATTCAAAGTGATAATTTGCTGGCTTTCTGCCAGAGGGAGAAGCTATGATCAATAACAGGAGGAGACAGAGGTCAGTGGAATAGTGATGAGCAGTGCCATCTGCTTCTCTGGAAACACCGTAACCCAAAAATATCAATAACTAGGATGATATTTCAGCTTTTAGATAAGGCATCAGTGAGACTGAGGCAGCCAGCAGTGAGAGCACGGGTCTTTTTTCTGCTCACTAATTCCTTGTTTCAGCCAATCTTCTGTCATGCACAGATGTGGACAGAAAGAGCTTTATCCAGCTTGCACTGGAATATAGAATATGTACCTGAGCACAGCCATTTCTGAGGCTAATGACACCTTGTTCAGGTTCAGTGCATGGCAGCTCTCCTGGGCTGTGCTCTGTTCTGGGTCAGAGACCATCTCCAGTTTTTCCTCGGAGATTTTGGGGTGGAATAGCCACAAAGAAAACCTTCCCCAGGGCTGGGAGAGAGCAGAGACTCAGCAGCACTGCCTGGATATCACAGAAGGGTATGCTGCACTGGGACACCTGGTGCTAGACAACTACTAGTGTCTAGTACTTTTGGCATTGACTGGCACAATATAGAATTATTCAATTAAAGGAAAAAACAGTTTTATCCATGTATTAGCTTTTATTACTCCAGACCTCAAGGTGATTAATTTCTTCTAGGAACTTCAATTTACTTTGCCTTCAAAAGCCTTACATTTTGTGTGCAAAATAACTCTCATCCCACCATACTTTAGGGAAATTTTTATCATCCGTTTCTGTACCTCCTGGGGATGCACATTCCTCTTTATTTTCTAAGAATTAGAGACAGGAGGGAAAAAAAATTATGCATCGAGATGCTTGTACTTCCAGCCTAAACTCTGATCCTCAAATGCATTATTAGTATCACTGTTGTAAACATTAAACATTCAGTGATTAGCTGAGCCAGATGTATTTTGATAGGAGTGAGGCTGAGCTTTAAGCCATTAAGTTTATCTAAGCTACGTTTTCAAGCTTTTCTAATTCACAGTTGTCTAAAATGAACTTTCTTTTATTAATAAAAAAGTGAAAATTTTTATTTGCCCACATTTGGAAAGAGCACGATAATGTGAGATTTCTTACAAAACAGGCATTAGAAATGAGTTTTACATCATTAGGAGTTTAGACAACTATATTGTTCAAAAGTGACTATAAATTAGAGTTTTAAATTTCTATTTATGATCTGTGCTGCACATTTGGAATAGTTGCATAAACCCCTTTTTGAAGTCAGGTCAAATTTGATGACAGAGACCAGCAGCCGCTGAGTGGGGATGATCTAAGAACCATCGGACAAAGCAGAAAAAAACCTCCAACTCACAGAACACCATCGTGGAAATAGGAAAAGGATGAACAACAAAGGAAACCCCAAACATGAATACCGAGAAGGCAAACCCCAGCCCTCACTCACAGGCTGTGAAGGCAGAGGAAGCCGGCAGGTGGACTCCGAAAGCCCTCATAGGAGCTGAGCCTCTTCCTGTGGCGGCCACACACCAGCACAGCCCGTGGAGGAGCCTCTTCTTCTTTTTCTTTTTCTTCTTCTCCTCTCCTGTGGCCTCCTGTCCCCAGGACTGTCCAGCCTGGCAAGATGAAGTGGAGGAGCATCGCCATCCTTGCCACCCTGCAGGCACAGCTCCCAGCCACAGGTAAAGGCAGCCTTTGGGTTTGCGAGGAGCTCTCGTAAAGCTCTTTTGAGGAAAGGGTGCAACGTTTCTGTGGTGGCTTCTCCACCATTTTGGCAGCAGGAGGGTGTCTGTGTGAGCGCCTCAGCCATGTCTGTCCCCCTGTGAAGGAGGAGCGGGACCTGCTGTGTTGAACCAGCCTGGGATAAAGAGCCCCACTGGAAGGATGGGATGAGGGGCCCTTCTCCTGCTGGAGCGATGCCACAGCTGAACAGTAACTAAACAAAGCTCTCAGCCCTCACCTGGGCCGCTTTCCCTGCGGTTGCAGAGGGGAGATTTGAGGCAGTGATGGAAATGTAGTCACCTGAAGTAAGCTGCATGGGAGAGGCTTCTCATGGACTGGGCTGTGGGTTTGTGGCCCGCAGCAGTGCTGGCAGGCGGGAAATGGGACACAGGTGGTGACAAAAGGGCAGGGCCCTTCCCTTCACATCCCTGCCTTCGTGCTCCTCTCCACCAGGCCCAGCACAAAATGAAGCCATTTCTTCCTTTGTGTTATTTATTTGTGTGGTGCACAGGCTGGCCCCACCTGGGCACCGAGCGGAGCAGCTTTGGTAAGCACACATCTTCCAAAGTCACATTTAGTTTGAGAAGGAGGAATTTACTATTTAGGAGCATAGTAGATGAAAAGGCCAACAAAATTTACATCTGGAAAAGGCCTCAGGTGAAGCCTGAATGTGCCTTAGGCCACATCTGAGCTTGTGTTAGAGCCAAATCCTCCGCAAGACTTCCACCCTCCGTGTACACCCTGGCTGTACTTAAATCCAGCAGCCTCAAGAGCTTGGGTGACTGCCACAGACATTTTTATTAGAAAGTTTTCTGGGGATGAGAGGAGGATTTTGCTGCTGCTTTCCAATGCTGTGGAACCAGTCCTGGTGATTTGTGAGGTTTTTCTTCCAGGAGAGTTTTGAGCAAGGTTTTATGCTCTGTGGCAGGTCATGGTTTGTGTTTGTCCTCCCTTCAACCCTTGTGGCCTCTGTCCTTTTCTGATGCCCAGATATGATCCTGTATTTAAATATACTTCTCATATTTTGTGCCTTACTCTGTATCCACAGATGCATGTTATGCTACAAAAGTATGGAAGTTACTTTAGGCCAAAATCCATCTACAAAATTATATTTTTACATTTCCTCCCTTTTAACCTATCACACCATGTCTGTAGTTCAGGTTCCTATTTGTGCATTTTCAGCAGACAACTTTGAAAAATATGTAATGCAGCTTGCAGAGGTCTCTGGTGCAAAGCTCTTGGGGTATTCACACTCACAAAGAATAAATGATTCGAGTTTTGAACTGGATACTGCTGTCACTGATTTGGAGGTGGCTGCCTGTGGATTCATGGGAAGTATTTTTGATTGGATACCTGTAATAGTTTGAAGTATAGCAGCATTTAGGCAAAGAGTGTAGGTAAAATAGAAGAAGTATCAATCAAAACTTGTGGAATTGTTGCCACATTGCGGATACAGAATAGAGAAAAATGAAAATGTAAGATCTGTCATGAATTTAGTTCAATGATGAGACCAAACAATTGGGTTTTTCAGCTCAGAGCTGTAAGCAGAAAGATTTTTCTGCTGCCTGAAGAGTTTTCAAGCTTTCTCAGAGTTCACTTCTAGAAGGACTTCTGGGGAAATGAACTTTTAATTTTTTCATGACACAAGCTCAGACAGATTCAGTAAGCTTCATACTTCCTCACAGTGAGTTAATTCCACTTCACTATAAAGTGTTTGTGCTTATTCTTTAAAAGGGCAGCTGAAAGATGCCATCAAGATTAGCACTGAGGAACTTGCAAAGCTTTTCTTTTTGATCTTTGAGTTCTGAAGTAAATATATCAGGCGTGAGGAAAAAAGTGTTTTAAATATATTCTAGAGATGGGCCCTGAATTCTGACGGAGACTTTGAATTTATTGACACCAGACCACAAATTTCAGAGTGCTCAAATTTGGCCTTTGAGCAATTACAGAGGGAAGGCATCTCACATTTTCAAATACACATTTATATATATATATATATATATATATATATATACAGGTTTAATTCTCTTTATTTCCCCTCTTCAAAGGCACAGAAGTGTACATCTGGAAATCTAGCTGAGGTCCTCCTATAACCCCTCTGTTAAAAAGTCCATGAAAAGTAATAATTTTAATTATGAGCAGATGACTTTGTTAATCATGTTGTTCATTGAGACAAGAATATTGGAAGACTGGTACCTCAATATCACAACTAAAATTGCAAAAACCTTCATACAGTTGACACGGCTTTTGTTCTGAAATAGACAGACTTTGATAGCAATAAAATAGTTCTGTGAGCAATACTGTAGAGCTGCCCCCCTATTTTTTTTTAAGATGATGCTTTGATTTATACAAACACATGCCACACGCATGTATGTAAATGCATGTGCAAGAATTTAAGAACACCCCTCCCCTTTTCTACATATCTTTACAGAATCACTTTTCTCAGAATTGTCTGCTAAATGGAACTGGACAGTGCCCTGTTTTTAGCTAACTCTGTGGAAACTACAGCAGTGTTGGTCTTTACCAGATGTTACTTGCACAACTCATTTCCACACTGTTGTTCTGCTCTGCATATCTCTTATCTCCCTCACATTGGGCTGCCATGATGCCATCAGCCTTTTTTTAGTCAGTTCAGGGACAGGTAATAGGTCTGAGCATTAATTATTTTCTTCCCTCTCATCGGATGATTTATCTGCTCTGAAAACAACAAGATTTGTAAACCAGGAGTTGTTTACAAGCTTGTCTGAGGAATCCAAACCAGTAAATTCAGATTTTTTTGATACCATCCCCGTGTCCTTATACGCTGTCTTAAGTTCTCCAAGCTGCGTTCTTGTAACACCTAGGGGGGAAAAAATTTAAAGGCTTAATTTTACATGTTTTATTTCTTTTATTTCTCCTGCCAGTTCACAATGATTCATTAATAATTCATGGAAAAAACCCTATGAACTGGCAGAATGGAACAAAATGTAGGCAATGTAGCCTTTCTTTGTAAAGGGACATTTGTTGAGCCCTTGCAGTGCTATGTTCAATTCTGTAATGCTTGTTACAGAGTAAGTGCTTTCTAGCTCAACCCTTCCAAGCAGAATTCCTAATCAGTGAAGTAACAAATTAATGATCACATTCCTTTCGTTTTTTTATGTGCACTAGATGGGACGTATATACAAAATACAGAAGGCTATCTGCAAAATATATTTCTGTTTTTCCTCTGTGTGTCCTAAGTAAGACCATGTGGATAAAAAGCCGATATGGAGTTAAAAAAGGAGGTACACTAGCAGCTTAAGGGGAGAAGAATTTGATGTGTAAATGAATGTTTATGCAAGGAATGTTTTTGACAACCATTTTCTGTTGTGCACACAGACTTTGAATGGTGACTAGCATGAGAATTAAATTTTTAGGGTTTCTTTCCTTGCATATTTCCATTTATGAATGTGGATTATTTCCTAACTCTTTCCAAATTCTAACCAAACTCTCTTTCAAAAAGAAAGAAAAAAAAATTTTTTTTTTGCACAACTGCAGGCACCCATCGACTCCTCCTCCCCTTTTCCAACTAATCATCTATTTGAGTGTCTTTACTGAGTGTATGTAGAAATGTAAGATGCATCAACTATTCTGGCAAGAAAATAGAGGATATTTTTAGATGGCATTAATGGAAGATGCAACTTAAAAATATTTAAAATGTGTATTCTGCTAAAGGTATCTAATTTCTCTGTGTGCATGTTAAACTCGTAAGCATATTGTTGAATTTTCATTCTTCTGCTGACTTTGGTCAACAGATAAATTTAAGTTTCACTGCTGATTTTTTTTTTTTTTTTAGTGTTAAGAGAACAATTTATGCTATTCTAGAGTCTGTGAGAAGATGAAATTTTGCCGATTTTTCTGATTTGTGATGTTGTCTAAGGTAATATTTTGAGACTGGGACTTAATATTATTTTCTTAATTAACTTAAGCTCTGGTCCTTTAAGTGTATAGTATTTTTAGCTTTTAATGTATGACAGTCCAAAGCAGTTTTTTTCAGGAAAGCAATGAAAAAATTTACCTCCACTCTTTCCTTTGATTTATAACTTCAAACATAAAATGTGCGGGGAAATGAAAATCTTGGTTTGCAGTTCTTTGATCCATTCACCCAAACACACAAGCATTGGAAAATAGCAAAATGCTTGTGTTCAGCCCCAAACAGTGTGTACATTCATCTTTGTGGAAGTCAGACTTTTTTCAGTCCTTTGCCAATATAACTATAAAAAATAGAAGTAGAAACCAACTAGTTTCTCAGCCTCAGAGATCACAAGCACTGGTGAGTGCAAGTTCTGCTCAAGTGATAGAAGCCTCAGTTTTTGAGCCTGGTAGATTGGAAATATTTTAACTCCTACAAGTTCCCTAGGAATAAGCTATCAACCTTTGGAAGACCATTGTGTATTTTCTTCTCAATCCTTTGTTACGTATCTGTTAAGTCTTACAAGAACAGCAACTCTGGAGTTTTCCATCTTTCTGTGCTTTAGGTATGTGACAGTATGTTAAACATGTGCTTGTGGAGCCCGATGAAATACTTCTCCTGTCTGGCCTGTTTCTTTTGTGAGATGTATCTTTAGTGAAAACTTCACCTTTATCATGATTCTTTCTGAGTAGCAAACCATTCTTTTCAGTTTGTTGTATTTTTTAAGTGAAGGAGAAGCCATAATCATATCACAACTCTCTGAAAACTCAGATAATGTGGAGGTGAAGTATATACCGAATTAGAATTCAATGGAAGATGACAGGGGGAAAAGATTGGAAAATTTGAACAAATGATAGAATAAACAGCATCAGAACACACTGGATAAGTCTAGAGGGTGCCCAGTTGTCAATACCTATGGGCTATTTTGTTTTGTATGGTTTTCTTAGGAAATCTCCCAGTATATGATTTACCTACAATTCAACCTGTTGTCTTAGGTGAAAATCCTAACTTTCACTGCAAATAAACTTT